GTGGTATGGTTTGAGCTCCTCAAGGCTCTCTTTCTCCTAGGGCTATGCAGTAGAATTGCAGGGCTGAGGCTGCGGACAGCTGAGGGACCTCCCACCTGCTGGGGGCAGAGTCCTGCCCAAGTAAGGAGAGAATGTCGGTCCTCTCTTTCACAGCTCCCAGCACTCCAGCTTGCTTTCTGCACCAAAACACTGTCCTGCCCACAGTTCTTTCTGACAAAGGGATCTTCAGAGACACCCAGACTTGAAAGAATGTTGCTATGTCCTGAAAAATTAAACCAGGATCTTTGTTTTTTTTTATGATTTTATTTATTTGTTCCTCAAAGAGAGAGCACAAGTAGGCAGAGCTGTAGGCAGAGGAAGAGGGAGAAGCAGGATCTCCATACAGGACCCCGGACCCCAGGACCATGACCTGAGCCGAAGGCAGATAGATGTTCAAGCGACTGAGCCACCCAGGCACCTCTAAACCGGGATCTTTAAAAATAGAACTCTGCTTGGTAATCTTACTTATTAAAGTCTTCATGATGTGTGGCCTCCATAATAACATACTAATTAATTTTCCTGTCTCCTGCAATGTATAAAGTATTATGAGTTGTCTTGGCTAAGCCAGGAGAGTTCAGTGTATTAAAATGGTTTGCAAGTGCTCAGAACGGACCCAGGCCACTTTCAGCCTTAATGACCCCATCTCGACAGCAGCCCTATGAGGCAGGGTTTTAGGGTCCCAGACCCAGTTGCAGTGTCTGAGGGGTTCCCCTCACACATCACCAAGCAGGGTGTGTGAGACTTTCACTCAGTTCTGACACCCTCTACTCGAGGTACCACAGATCCCGCCTGTTAAGGATTCAACCTCTCCATCCCCCGCCAGTCAGATATCCATCCTAAACCCCACTCTTCTGTGTGCTTCTGACCGATCCCAGACAGTGTCGATCCCACCTCCTCCTTGGGTTCGATTAATGTGCTAGAACCACTCACAGAACTCGGGGAAACACTTACTTATATTGACCCGTTCAATAGAGGTTATAAAAGAGGATACAAATCAGAGCCAGAAGAAGAGACATGGAGGGCAAGGAGAAAGGTCACAGGCCGCAAGTCCTGTTTCGCCACTCTCCTGAGTCTCCACATGTTTACCAGCCTGGAAGCTCTCTGAGCCCAGTTCTTTTGGGTTTTAAGGAGGCTTCATTGCATAAGGGATTACTTAAATCGCTGGCCACGGGTGATTGATTAAACCCTCCAATCCCTGACCTCTCCGTGGAGGTCAGGAGGAGGGAATGAAAGGTCCCTCTAATCACATGACTGGGCCTTCTGGCAATCAACCCCCATCCTTATGTGAGGTCCCAGAGTCACCTATGAATGTAACTAAAGACATGTTTGTCACTGTCAACACTTAGGGAATTCCCAGGGTTTGGGAGGCAGCCCCTGTGAAAGACCAAATATATATGAGACACATTGTCATCTTCTGAATGACCACATTTTTATTTCTTTTTTTTTTTTTAAGATTTTATTTATTTATTTGACAGAGATCACAGGTAGGCAGAGAGGCAGGCAGAGAGAGGAGGAAGCAGGCTCCCCGCTGAGCAGAGAGCCCGATGTGGGGCTCGATCCCAGGACCCTGAGATCATGACCTAAGCCAAAGGCAGAGGTTTAATTCAGTGAGCCACCCAGGTGCCCCCAAATTTTTATTTCTTTTATGTGCAAATCTCACAGGCGGGTATCATTATTCTTCTCATTTGAAATTCAGGAAATTGCTCAACCTTCCTTTTGCTGTCCCTCCAAGTCTGGGCCCCAGGCCTTCTACCCTCGCTTGGTCACATTATCCTGTGTGGCGTCTTGTCTAGCTTTGGCTTCTGGCTCTTACAGGCTTGCTGTTCTTCTCATCCACTGAAATCCACTGTAACCGAGAAAAGGCAGGTCTCTGTGGCCTCTCCACAGCCTGGTCACCCGGGGCTCTTGGGGAGGGGGACCATCTCTTGTCCTCTGTAAACCAGGTCACTTCTGGGAGCAAAAGGGCTTGCCGCTACTAATGAAGCTGGCACAATGGCCCTCACAGACACAGTCTCTGCACACGGGACACAGCGACTCATGCAAGACTCCGGAGGCCTCAGCGGCCTGGAGATCTGGTACCGCCCCCCAGCGTCTTTCCTCGGCTGGAGACACAAAGGGGATGGCTGCCTGTCCCCACTGTCTATTGTTCTAAGCTTGGCCCTGCAGGGAGTTGCACGTCCCTTCCAGGAACACAGAATACATGATGGAACAAAGGAAGAGACAAGCCTTGCTGGCCCAAGTCCCCATGAGGAGCACCTCTTGGTTCTGGAAAGTGTACTCACTGTGTCTGTAATGTTTCTGTCAAAGAAGGGAATGGCTTGAATGCTGTCTGAAAGTGGGGAGGGCTTTCCAGCAAGGAGCGGCCCCAAGGGAGTAAAAGAATGCCACAGGATGGGATCACTGGCCCTGTATTTCTGCGCTGGGGAGCCTGGGAGGAGGGGTGTGGGCACCACACCGCCTCCTCTGGGGAGCAGCCCCCAAGCTCCCTGTCACCACTGGCTCTGGAGGGCTGACATCTGCCCCTCTCCCCACTTATCTACTCCTGGGACTAAGGGAGCCAAAGCAGCTCAGGGGGCCCGGACCAGGGAGACCTCAGTGACCCCACATTTCCCAGGGCATGGTTTGGGTGGGGAATATCCAGATTTTGCTTACCATTTCCTTGGATAAGAACCACAGGGACTTGGGGCACCTGGGTGGCTCAGTGGGTTAAAGCCTCTGCCTTCAGCTCAGGTTATGATCCCAGGGTCCTGGGATCGAGCTCCGCATCGGGCTCTCTGCTTGGCGGGGAGCCTGCTTCCCTTCCTCTCTCTCTGCCTGCCTCTCTGCCTCCTTGTGATCTTTGTCTGTAAAATAAATAAATAAAATCTTAAAAAAAAAAAAAAAAGAAGAAGAAGAACCACAGGGACAGAGGGATCCTTTGACAGCTATCTGCCCTACACCTCTCTTCTCACTGTACCTATAGGAATTCAAATAAGACCCAGACCCAGAAAGAGGCATCACTCCTCATGCTGGCAGGCTCCAACCCAAGACCCTGACTCCCTCCCAGTAGTGGAATCCTTGCCTGATCGGCTTCATCCTGTGTCAGAGTCCCCTTTGCAATGTCCTACCCATAACTCCTCTAGTCTTGTAACAAATCAGAATTCTGCCTCCTGCTTCCTCTCTGGGTTCCTAATGGAGCCCGAGTCCCACCTCCTTCCTGGCTACTGCTTCCTATCTTCCAACCTCCAGGCTGTCCAGGCTCCAACTTTTGCTTTCATGGGCCCTGGAGGCACTTGTGTTGTATCTGCCATGTCTGTTCATATTCCTTGTGTCCCAGACGCACCCCAGGCAACACCCCTGAGCCAGCACTCTCTGGGCTGGGCCTCCCTGGCCCTACTGCCCTAGCCTTCCAGCCCCAGATCCCACTGTAACAAGAACCAGGTCTTTCCTCTCCACCCCCCATCGTCACTGTCACATCACACATGCACCATCCTCTCCTCTCCAGGAAAATCCCATGACCTCTAAAACTTCCCTTGCACAAACAGGGGCAGGGTGGGGGTAGATGAGGGGACCAGGGCCCCCATCCCTCTGATAAGGCCTGCACGCAATTTCTTCCCACTATCATTTTCCTAAACTCCCACAGGAAAGCCCAGGCCTGTTTTTCCAGCTGAAAGAGCTGTTCTACATGTTCACAACCTCCCAGCTTTCTTGCTCTGCATCCAACTTTCTCTGCATCCTTCCTGAATCTTCTAGTCTCATAATTTAGCAGCCAATAGGCTATTTCCTGATCACTTCTAGGATATGTCATTTCTCCGTGACAAGTTCAATGTTACTGACCCACGGTGTCCCCCATTAGAGCCTGCCATTAGGAGCTCCCACAGCCACTGGTCATGAACACACTCAAGTCTGAAGGACTCCCTTTTCCAGCGTCCAGGCCACCACTCTGGTGCTGGAAGCTTTATGTTCCTGGTCCTTCCTGTCCTACCCCTGCTCCCCGGGGTCCCAGCTTCTCATCTCTCCCTTCAATGGAGCCTGTTTGCTCTTCCATTCGCCTTCTATGTTCATTCTTTAGACAATCAAATCTCTTGTCTAATATTGACTACCCTTCACACCCATTGTCAATACCTCATTGTGTTGGGAAGGAAATCTTTCCTCACCAGGAAGGAGACTGAAAACAGGCAGAAAACCCCAAGTTTGCTGCACTCTGGAAACTGCCAGGTTGCACAACCTGGGAAATTAGATGGGAATGTTGGGTCCCCCCCAAAATGGGTACCCCAATAATGGGTCTGTGATTAAAGGAGTGAGACTGATACAAAGCGAGAAGTCAAGCAAAGCTTTATTTCGCGCCAAGCATCAAGAATCAAACCGACCATCAAACAGACCGGTCAGGGCGGCCCCTTATAGAGAGGACGACCCCTCCCTGCTTTCCAGACTAACTTTTATAGAGCAAAGGCCATGTGGTTGGGCCTGGCCACACACAGGTGGCCAATGAGATTGTAACACACAGAGAAAGCTGCACAGTCATGCTAGGTGACTAACTGAATTACAATTTACCCTAGTAGACATTTGAACCAGCCTATCACCTTGGTCAGAATTGGCACCCAAAATGTGCCCAAAGGGAGGGGCCCATACTCCTTGGTAGCTAGGGAGACAGTATGCATCCGCCCCCCGCCCCCCCTCCCATCGGATGTCTCCACCTGGCCTGACCCACCCTTGTACTTGGATTTTGTTACCTGGGACTGGTTTCCCAGACTTGTTTTTAAGTAAGTTCCCCTGGGTGGGGGGGCAAAGTCAATTTAAGTTTTACAGCAAAATGGCAGTTCAACTGGGGTGCGGCCGCTCTGGCTGAATAGGCCCTTACTGGGACAAGGAAGGAGCCTGTTGTGCTGGCTGCTGGGTTCTGGCCAAGGAGAATTTCCCAAATCTCAGGGTTTGGCTTCAAATCTGTCTTCCCCCTTGTTTCCCCAGCACAGCCCCAGCATATAAAGTGCGGGCGTTTCTCACAGGAAGCTCAGCTTCACCGGGAGATCTGCAGGAAGCGACAGCCCAAGGTAAGGTGCTAGAATTTTCCAACACTTGTTCTCTCTGCAGATTCCCTTTCCCCACAGCATTCCTGGGCTGTGTCCCAGCTCTCTGCTTCCTCCCTGCATCTCGTAGCCTGACAATTAGGAGTCAGCATCTGTGAATGCTTTCTGGGACTGGGATTTAGTCGTGTACTTCCACATGGGGAGCTCTGGGATGGGTAGAGCAGGCGTTCCACACCATATTTGTGCACTGTTTCACTCATCTCATTCGACAGACTGGTATATGGTCACGCAATGCCCAGACGCTTCTTTGGAAGCTTTTTATACATTGGGGTCAGGGCTCATAGGTGAGGATTGAAATGCAAAGTGGTTTCTTTTTTTTTTCTTTTTTCTTTTTTTCTTTTTCTTTTTTTTTTTTTTTTTTTAAGATTTGGTGTTTTTTTATTACTTATTTGACAGACAGAGATCACAGGTAGGCAGAGAGGCAGGCAGAGAGAGAGGGGGAAGCAGGCTCCTTGCCGAGCAGAGAGCCAGATACGGGACTCATCCCAGTGATGAGGGAGCAGGACGCTGGCTGAGGACAAAGCAAAAGCTAGCACCTTGCACCCCCTCTCCTACCCGCTCCCCTCGGGTAATATGGGTGACATTCCTCAGGCACCCCTGACTGCCCTAAAAGAAAAACAAATAGTTAACTTGCAGAGATCACAATCCTGCAAGACAGGCGTCTCCCTTGGTTTACCAGTGTCCTAGAGATTTACAACAAAGAAGCTATCTTAACAATAGCACAATTTCCAGAGGCAAATAACTCAGTTCCTCAAGCCCTAAATAAAGTTAAATTTCTTCTATACCCAAATCTCACTAACAAGGACACTTGATAGGAGAAATGTGAAACTTTATCTCTAGATCTCCAAGATAGTTTCGAGAATCATTCCCAAGCATATGGCCCATTGATATACATCTAAAGGGTCTCACAAGAAGATTTTTACTACTAGTAATAAATAACCTTTCTCCCAACAATAGCTAGCCCCGCAAGATCCTGGAGACCTTGCTTCTAAAATTCCTTAGAGACTAACATCACCCCTTTTGTTCTCACCTACCCAACTCCTGTGTATATAGTCAGCCACTCCTCAGGATAACGGCACAGCAGCTCTTCCTGCCCACGGGTCCTGTCCCCGTGCTTTAATAAACCACCATTTTGCACCAGAGATGTCTCAAGAATTCTTTCTTGGTCATCGGCTCCGGACCTCAGCCCACTGAACCTCACCTAGGTTCTAGAACTTCATCACCAGGACCCTGAGATCATGACCTGAGCCAAAGGCAGAGGCTTTAACCCACAGAGCCACCCAAGCTCCCCGCAAAGTGGTTTCTATCAGAAGTGGGTTAAGCCTCTGCCTTCGGCTTAGGTCATGATCCCAGGGTCCTGGGATGGAGTCCCGTATTGGGCTCTCTACTTGGCAGGAAGCCTGCTTCCTCCTCTCTCTTTCTGCCTGCCTCTCTGCCTACTTGTAATCTCTCTCTGTCAAATAAATAAATTCTTAAAAAAAAAAAAAAAAAGAAGCGCAGTGCAGTCTCTCATGCTGGGATTCCAATAGAGGCAAGTGGAAATGGACAAGTGGACCCTTTGGAATTCTCTATGTATCTATGTATCACCTGCCTAATATATGTATACGTACTGTCTACTTCTTTCTACACATACTTACATACATATATGTATATACACGGATGTATGTGTACACATATGCATGTGTGTCTCTGTGTGTGGATATATAGATAGAGATAATCCTGAGTGTGGCTCAGTTTTGGAATACAATAGGTCAACATCACCCCTCCCCCCAAATCAGACCAAACAAAAACCAAACACCTGTCATCTTTGTGTGTGTTTGAGTCTGCAGCAGGATGAAGCTTTTCCTGGGCATCCTCTTGTGCTCCCTGGTCCTGGGCGTCAGCAGCCAAAGATGGTTAGGCTTCCTCAAGGAAGCTGGTCAAGGTAAGGTCAAAAGCATGGGAGCAGGGGGAGGCTGCCCCTGGATTCCCTCCAGGATTGCCCAGAGCGGAGGTCATGTCTACACAGGCCAAAGGCCGCAAGTGGGAAAAGAAGAAGCATGGTTTTCAAGATAGCAGTTTCCCAGGCTTTTTTTTTTTTTTAAATTGAACTATACCTGACATGTAACATTGTGTATGTTTAAGGTGAATGTCATGTTAATTTGATGCATTTATATATTCAATCTGATTGCCACTGTAGCTATAATTAGCACCTCTATCATGTTACATAATTATCCTTTCTTTTTAGCAGTTGAAGTAATTAATTAGACTATAGCATATTTCATAATTATAATACAATATTGTTTGGTGTTCATTATACTGTGCATTAGGTCTCTAGGGCTTACTTACTACACATGGCCATTCTCCTTAAACCACATCTGTCCTATCCCTCCACCCCTGGCTTTTCTAGGCAGCATTGCACTCTTCCAGGGGATCCCCAGGCTGGAGGCCACTAAGTTGAGGGCTTCAACTTGGAGCAGGAGCAGGAGCAGGAAGAGAGCTGGGGTCCAGGGTGCCGGCGCCCTCCTTCCAATTGGGACGCGAGCGCCACCTAGAGGGAAGTCATGGACCGCTGTGGCTGGGTCTCAGGCAGCCAGGAAAAGGGGGGCCTCGTTCCATCCAGGAGTCACTGAGCTGGGCCTGTGCTAGGCACTGTTCTAAGAGTTTTGCGTGGATGAATGAATTTGTTTTCATCCTCAGGTTTTAATCTGTAGCCCTGCAGTTTAGGGGCCATCATCCCTTGACAGAGGATTTGAGGCACAAAATAATGAAGAGTCTGACAAAGTCCTCAAGCAGAACTGGATGTCCCGTGGTAGAGCTCCCCAGACCTTGCTAGAACAGCGCTGTCCTGCCTCCCAGACCAGAGAGTGCACAGCCCATGGCGGGGTTTGGGATCACACAGCCTCTTGTGTATCTGAGCAAATGGCAGACAGGCCCTGGGAGAGGCAGAGGGCCACGCTGCAGAGCTCCGCTCCCCACAATCAACAGGCACAAGGAATTAGGTGATGGTGGTTCTGAGGGCCTGGGGCCTGGCTGGGCAGGGGAGCAAGAGGAACACAACTTAGCAGTCAGACTCAGCGCCACGATTTGTGTATTACACAACATCATTTATCTTTATTTTTGTTTTTTGGTGAGAGTCACTGATTACTGCTTTGAGGGTTTGCTGTCGATCCTTTTAAATTCTCACAGGCACAGCTGTAGCCTGATCAGATTCCTTCAGTCTGTAACTTGCTGCTCTTCCTCTTCCTTAGTCCCTTTCCTGGGCTTGTCCCAGACTTCCTAAGGCCCAGAGCGTTGATAGCATCCTGGGCAACTACAGCCTTCCAGAAGTTCTAGGCGAATTTTCTCAGTTTGTCTGCATAAGCACTCTATGGAAGTCAATACTCTTCCATTTACTGGGGAGAACACTGGACTTTAGAGCTGGTGGGTCAGTTGCCCTTTTTCTGCCTTGATGGTGACCCCATTTCTATAAAGTTCCCTTGGGGGAACTCATCTTTATCAGTTATATTTATGATTGAGTTTGGTCAGTTTCCTGGTGCCACCTAAGCCCCAGATATTCTGACGTACACAGGCCTGAGTTGTCTTCACGCTGCCCACAGGGAGGAATTTCTCCCGTCGACTAGGTTGGGAGCCCTCTGGGTCGGCAGCCTCCCTCAGACTTGCCTTTGTCCTCATGCCCCAGTCCAAGGGGTCCCTGTCCTTCCCAGGTAGAGAGGTTCCCTTAAATACAAGAAGCATCCCTTAAAGACCACCCCACCTCCCGTTCACACACATCACACACACTAAAAAAACAAGTAGCAACGTACTTTTCAGAATGGACTCACAGAGAATAAAACTTGCACCAAGTGTGATTCTCCTAACATTCACCCAGGGGAGTGAAAAGTAAAGGAATATTTATCTCAGCCAATATAATGTCTGAGGATTTTGTCAAAGGCTGAAGTCTTTGGGGCACCTGGGTGGCTCAGTGGGTTAAAGCCTATGCCTTTGGCTCAGGTCATGATCCCAGGGTCCTGGGATCGAGCCCCACATCGTGCTCTCTGCTCCACGGGGAGCCTGCTTCCTCCTCTCTCTGCCTGCCTCTCTGCCTACTTGTAATCTCTGTCTCTCAAATAAATAAATAAAATCTTAAAAAAAAAAAAAGGCTGAAGTCTTAGAATCACTGGGAGAAAAACTTTTTCTCTATTTTGCCAAAAGAGGATCACTTCCATTTTCTTTCCTTTCCAGGGACTAGAGACATGTTAAGAGCCTACTCTGACATGAGAGAAGCCAATTACAAAAATTCGGACAAATACTTCCATGCCCGCGGGAACTATGATGCTGCGCAAAGGGGCCCTGGGGGCGCCTGGGCCGCTAAAGTCATCAGGTAACAAGGGCCCCGGGGATGCAGGGATGGCCTGGCTGAGCATGGCGGCCTTAGAGAGCCAGGAGGGGCCAACCCTAGAGAAGCTTCCTGCAGAGACGGCGGCTCCTGGTCCTCTTGCCCACCGTCCCCTCTGTGCCCAGTGTGGGGTCTGAGTGGCTGGCAGAGCCAGAGCAAGGCCAGTGGGAATGGGGGACTCCCACCCTCCTGCTGTGGGCACGGGGACCAGCCTGGGCTGACCTGGGCTGTGCGTGGAGCACGGTCCGTGTTTCAGCCCCTCTGGCCTGGGCTCCTCTCAGCCATCCCTCAGAAAGAGAAGAGATTGGTGGGGGCGGGGGCCTGTTGCTCAGCAGCCCCTAATGAATCTCTACCTGCCTTCCTCCATTCCAGTGACGCCAGAGAGCGTTCTCAGAGAGTCACAGACCTTTTCAAGTATGGAGACAGCGGCCATGGAGTGGAGGACTCGAAGGCTGACCAGGCTGCCAACGAATGGGGCCGGAGTGGCAAAGACCCCAACCACTTCCGACCCCCTGGCCTGCCTAGCAAGTACTGAGCTTCCCCTTGGCTCTGCCCTGGGGAGATGGGCTGTGAGGACCCTGAGGGCAGGAACACCCAGTCATTGAGTTCTCTGTCCTCAGAGGCTAGGGGAGGGCCTCAATATGTCTAATAAATGCTTAATGAGACTGACTTGAAAAGTGTGTGTTACTCTTGGGTATAAGGACTGCTTGTTTGCTCCCCAGGAGTGAAGGATGGACACCCCCACCCCGAGCAGGCAGAGCCTGGGTTTGGTGTAGGGGGGGACACCTGAGCACGACACAGGACAGACACCCCACACCCTTCCTCTTGGATCAGACCCGCTCCCCTGTCCGGGCCCCTCTAGTTGTACTTGTGCTATTTCCAGGTCCTTCCATGTCCAGACCCCTCACTGCTGTCCGTGGTGTCCTGTCACTTTCTCTGTCCTCAGTGTCTAGTTCCTTTTGTCTTGCGCCTTAGTGTTCGCTGTCCCTGGGGTCAGGGGACTCAGCCGTGGGAGGACGGGATGGTGGCATCCTGATCTGGCCACTGTCACTTTGATCCTCTGTTGTTTTCTCAGTTGGGCCTTCAAATCTAGTGAAAACCAGTTTCTGTCCCTGCCTTCTAAGAAACACGTCCAGAGCAGTTTTTCTCCACCTTATTTCACACAAAAGCTCCCAGGAACAAAACATGCCAGGAAATGGTGGCACAGTGACATCATCAACATCTGGCAAGTTTTGTTGTCAACTCATCTGGGGACTTTCTTGCTCATCAACTTTGACTGTGGCACCCAGCAAACTTTTGCTGCCAAGCAAAGTACCAAGGCCACACACTTTCTAACAAGACCTTAACGTCAGCCTTGTGAGGAGGGCCTGTCCTGAATTCATCCTTCCTTTATTTTTTATCCCTTAATAGCCAATCTTTTGCAACTATATACTAATTCTTTATGTTAAAGCCTCCCTCTTCAAATCACTGCTCAGTTTCTGTCTCCTGACTGGCTGACTAATAACAGGGTCTCCAATCTGGGGGGTGGGAGGGGGTTTGCATGGGATCGCCTCTTTGATACCCACAGCACGGAGGACAAGACCTCTCTCACCTTTCTCCGCCTCTTACTCTTACCGTGCTGAGGCTTCTCCAGGTGTTTTGTTGCTATTCCCAGACCTCTCTGTGTCCCCATCTCTTCATTGCCCAGTCACCTGTGTCCTGTCCGCTGCTCTGCCTCTGCACCTTGTCCCTCAGCATCCTCTCTCCATCAGGTTTTTGGGAAGCCTAATCCCAGGGGTTCTGGCAAGTGATGTCTTGGCCTCCCCAACAGCAGCCCCTGTCTCTGATGACATTGTTTCTAAAGATATTTTTTTTTAACTTAAGAGACAGAGAAAGAGTAGGGGGAATGCAGAGGGAGAGGGAGAAGCAGACTCCCTGCGGAGCAGGGATCCTGGCCTGGGGCTCCTTCCTGGCCTCCGGGACCATGACCCAAGACAAAGGCAGATGCTTAACCAACTGAGCCACCCAGGTGCCCCTCTGATGACATTTTTAACCAGTTCTTTTTGGTCCTACCTAAGGAATGCCTCTCACATTAGTTTCTCTCATCTTTATTCCTACTGTTTTTGAACTCAGATCCCAATAAAAATTCTACTTCCTTGAAGAACCTTCCCAGTAGCCCGGGCAGCACATGGGCTCTCACAGAGCTTCATTCATACCTGCGGGCTCGTCTTTACCTCATCCCCTCCGTTCCTTTCATGTGTCAGCTCCCCCGGATAGATTCCAAGCCTCTTTAACGTAACTCCCAACCGAACAGTAGTTTACAGTTCATAATACACTTCCATCCTATTTTCTTTTTTAAAAAATATTTTATTTATTTATTTAACAGAGAGAGAGACAGAGACAGAGAGAGCGATCACAAGCAGGCAGAGAGGCAGGCAGAGAGAGAGGAAGGGAAGCAGCCTCCCTGCTGAGCAGAGAGCCCAATCTGGGGCTCGATCCCAGGACCCTGAGATCATGACCTGAGCCAAAGGCAGCGGCTTTAACCCACTGAGCCACCCAGGCGCCCTCCATCCTATTTTCTATATGACTTTTCTTCTGACAAGGTCCGATGTTCTAGAAAGGAAGCCAGGTATGTACATAGACACTTACAACACGCTTTAATAAAGAGCCTCCGCGGAAGCACACGGGAGGCAACCCCAGCTCTGCCGGGGTGGGGGAGGCTGGTGAATACTAATTACACAGAGTAGCTGCCATTTTCTTTGTTTGCAGATGCCAAACCATCCTCTATACTGTACGTGCCTTGTTTGATGTAAGCCACACGGAGTCTTTGCGGTTAGCTGGAGAAACCCCAGTGGGGAGGTACATAATTAGGACGGTGTCCGGGGTTGCACTCAGCATGGGTGCAGAGCCAGGCCCACAGGCTGGAGTGGCTGCCTGGGTGTTCGGCACCACCTGCCTTCTCCCGCCTCCTTAAAAGATGCCCTCAACTGCCTTCATGGTTTCGCACGCTCCTTTGTCACACCCTCCTGGCCCATGGTCTTCCCTCAGTTCCACCAAAAGGTCAAGCTCTTATTTGCCACGGCGCCTCGTACACTCGATCCATCTGCTCTTCATGGCTGCTCCCTTCATAGCCTGTGTCTCTCATGCGAACCCTCCCTTCAGAGAGTCCTTCTCTGACTGCTCTGAGTCACCTACTGTAGCTATTCTTTCCTTCCTATTATTAATATGTAGTGACTTTTTTCATTTCTTGCTTTACGTTCTTCTGTTATTGTTTTTTGTTTTGATGGCTTTCTTGGTCCAGCTTCCTTACTAGGTTGTAACAATTTCTGTCTTATTTAGCTTTAAGTATCTGGCACTAAGCCAAGTATCTGGTGCATAACAGAACCTCAACACTGAATGAATGAACGAATGGTTGAAATAATTTACTTTTTAACTGATTAGTCAGAAGGAGGGGATGAGGTCAAGCTCACTGATGATGGGTTAACCTGAAAAGGAGCAAGGAGGTACTCCTGAGAAAGGGAGGAAGGTAAAGAGAGGACAGTGAGGAGATGCGGAACATTTTGGGGGGGGGTGAGGAACCTGAGGGAATTCAATTGTAGCTGCTATTATTACACATTATTGTCCCCAGGACCCATCACAAAGGGCAAAAACATGTGTATCGGAGCGCCTGGTGGCTCAGTGGGTTAAAGCCTCTGCCTTCAGCTCAGGTCATGGTCTCAGGGTCCTGGGATCGAGCCCTGCATTGGGCTCTCTGCTCAGCAAGGAGCCTGCTTCCCCTGCTCTCTCTGTCTGCTGCTCTGTCTTCTTGTGATCTTTCTCTGTCAAATAAGTGAATAAAAATCTTTAAAAAAAGGCTCCATTAAAAAAAAAAAAAAGCATGTCTATCTTGTTGTATGTCCTCCTCGTTACCCAGAGTACCTACCAGAGCTCCTGGCACATGGTAGATGCTCAATAAACACTTACTGAGTGAATGAATGAAGCAGGAAGAAAAGTATTCTGCACAGGATGGCAGGCCTGGGAGCAGCGTTTGGGACGTGTGGAGGGTATTTGGTATTTGATACGGGTTTTGGTCTGCAGAATGTGGTCATGTTAAAGATCAGTATCCAAATCTATACCAAAATCTTCACTGAAGTTCCATCTAAACTGACATAATCTCACTTTATCATAGAAAAAGTCCTTTCCTCTAGCAATGCTTTGCAAGCTTTCTCATTAAAAATGAGAACTGTGACTCCCAGTCATGGCTTTTGAATGTGTCCACTTGGCTGGGCTGAACGACCCCCCTCACACTTCTCCGTGAGGCCAACTGGATGGCCCATAGGAGATACTCCCTGCCCAGGGTTAAAGGATGAAGGGGAGCCGGAGCCACTTTGCTGTATACGCACATCTTCCTTCGGTTATTCAAACACTAATTTACATGCTGCTGTATTTTGCAGACAAGGTTGAAGTCCTTAATTAATTATCTTTAATCAAATGGGTGATTATCCTAGGTGGAACTCGCTTCATCAGTCGGAAGGCCTTTAGAAAAAGGCTTAACTCTTCCTTAATCTGCTCTCCAAATAGGCACTGGGCCTACAATTGCTCTCCTTTTCCTTGGATCACGCTATCCTGCCTGCCTCTCCTGACTGCTTGGCCAGCCCCTACAACTGTGCAAGCCAGCTCCTTGTAATAAGGCCATTAATATATACATCTATGGCCTATTGGTTCCACTTCTCTGGTCAAACTCTGATTCAGAATTTAGTACTGTAAGTTGTTTTAGAGGAACAGGATCATAGAGATAGGTCTAGATTTAGATCTCTCACAAGGAATCGGCTTATGCAATGGCAGGGGCTGGCTAAGGAGGCCCAAAGTCTACAGCGAAGACCGTTTTCCGTGCAACCAAGCAGGGCAGATCACGAGCAGGCTGGAACTCCACAGGTGTGGGCTCAAGCTCTTGTCTACAGGTGGAATATTCTCTCCTTTGGGTGGTTCCTCTCTTTGGATCTAGTCTTTTAGACCACCAGAACTTCAAGTCACAAGGACAGAAAACAAAGAATTTTGCTAGTGGATCAGTAGGGGTAATAGTGAGAGAAGCCACTAACATGATACTTCCTTGCCTTCATTCCTGGACTCATGAATTGTGGCTATGGGAGAAACAGTACCATATATTAGAAACTGATTTAAAGCACATACCATAAGGGTGGCGGCGGGGGGCATTGCCTCATCCCTGCAAGGTGTTGCTCTCTAGCTAGAACTGTGGCTGAGTTTTCAAAACATTATCCCACCACTCTACCCAGCTGGCTACTTCAGGATAATAGGGAACATGGTTAAACCAGTGAATTCCAGGAGCACAGTCCCACCGCCACGTTTTATTTGTTGCAGATGGGTTCTTTAATCAGAGTAATACTGTATAAAACAAATACCATGGTAGTGCATAAGACATTCAGTAAGTCCACAGACTTTGGAAGAAGCACTGGATGCAAGGAAGACCAATCTATACTCATTGTGTCTATTCCATTAAGGAAAAGCATTGTCCCTTCCATGACAGAAGTAGCAGCATTATTCAAAATACCCAAGAAATAGATGCAACTCAAGTATTTATCAATTAATGAGTGTTTAAACAAAATGTCGTATATTCACACAATGGCATGGTACTCACCCATAATAGGAATAA